AACATCATGTTGCATGATGGCTAAACAATAGCCACAAAAATAAATATTGTAAAATATAGAAGTTTCTAGAATGCGGTGTGATGTAGGCAAAGAATGCCTATAAATAGGCATGCAACCACAATGAAATGTGGAGTGAACCAATCAACTCCTAATCTATGTGGGAGTCTAACAAAGAACTCCCAAACCATTAGGGAGCCAAGAGCTACCCAAATTAAACTATGGTGAGGAGCCAATTAGCTCATCAATCAAAGTGTAAGGGCCAAATAGCCCAAACTAATCTAAGTCAAATGTGATGGTCAATAAGCCAATATGCTAAGGAGGCCAATTAGCCTACACAAAGCCTTGTACTATTCTCCTCCAAATTTAATAAAATCACTTTGTTTCCCCTTCAATCTAACAGTGGTATCAGAGCAACACACATAACACCCCTAAAAACCCAACAAGATTCAACTTAGCAACCAAACACATGCCCGCCAGCAATCATTTAATTCCAACTTAGACTCCAAGACCACGCTCTTCCGTTATATGGAAATAAGGCTTCATGTTTGCCCTTTTAAATTTTTTTTGCCTGGCCAAAACGATGTCGTTTGGCCAAGACTTAAAAAAAACAAAACAAGCGCTTAGCATTGCAACAAAGAAAAGAAGAGGTTGCTAGGTTGCTATTGTTGAGAGGCATTTATTCGAACAGGTGGTGGGCACCTCCAAGGTAGAGCTAAGGGGCAAACTTTGGCGACTTCAAAGCTTTTTCCAGCGAAGGAAGGTGTAGCTACACCTCCTTGTGCCTCTACGAGAGTTCGCTAGTGCATGCCATAAAATATAATATATATATATTCAAACACATGTCATAGACTATGCTATACGTCAACCAAATTTATGGCGACACCACAAGACCCAACAGGTCCAATGCGCCAAACTCATATGGGTTGTTCTCTGTTAAAGCTTACATTACATGGATAATCCAAGCTCCATCTCTAGCTTTGCCAGGTCATTTTTTGCAAGGATGATCTATGAATGTAGACTTAAAAAAAATAGATGGTTTGGCTTGTTGAAAAAAAATTCGTAGGGAAACCTAAAGGGTATTTTATTTGAGGGGTCCCTTAATAGAAGGGGACTGACTGATATATATATATAGAAAGAGCTTCAGTTGAGGGATCCTTCAAATATGCTTATTTGAGGGACACCCTTTTAAGGCCCACTCCATATTGTATTTCACTAATCCAAACGGTCTATTTTGTAAATACTCATTCAAAGATCATCTCTACAAAAAATCACTTGAATCCAATATCATTTGACCACTCAATTGAATTATTGAAATTTTAGTACTTTCCTGAAGTACCGTGTTCATTGATTTTGTAGGACATAATTGGATATCTAAACAGTTTCAAATTTGTCTAATTTTTTGCAAGGATGATCTATGAATGTAAACTTAAAACATAGACTGTTTGGATTAGTGAAATACAGTCCCCTTCTATTGAGCTTGAATCCAATATCATTTGACCACTCAATTGAGTTATTGAAATTTTAATACTTTCTTGAAGCACCGTGTTCATTGATTTTGTAGGACACAATTGGATGTCGAAACGGTTTCCGATTTCTCTAATTTTTTGTAAGGATGATCTATGAATGAAGGCCTAAAAAATAGATGGTTTGGATCATTAGAAAAAAAAATTGTAGGGTACCCTAAAAGATGTCCTCAAATTAGCTTTTTTGAGGGACACCTTTGTAAGGTCCACTTCGCTTTGTATTTCAAGAATCCAAAATGTCTATGTTTTAGATAATAATTCAAATATCATTTCTATAAAAAAAATCACTTGAATCCGATATTGTTTGACCACTCAATTGTGTTTTTGAAATTTTAGAAAAGCATTGTGTTTATTGATTTTGTAGGATACAATTAGATGTCGAAACAATTTTCGATTTGTCTATTTTTTTGCAAGGATGATCTATGAATGTAGACTTAAAAAATAAATGATTTGGATCGTTAGAAAATAATTCGTAAGGTACCCTAAAAGACATCTTTCAAATAAAATTATTTGTGGGATTGCTGAATGGAAGGATATATATATTATCAAATTCAAACACATGCTTTGCTTGAATTGAATTATTAATAAAACCCTCAACTGTAGATGAGAGAACATGACACTTTTACTCAAATGCAGGCCATATATTCGAACACAGTAGGTAGATCATACCTTTGGTATAAACAACAAGAAGATTAGTACGATCTCATTATTTGTTCATCTTCTCGGTAGGTAGAGAGAGAGAGAGAAAAAAAAAAAAAAGTTTCTAAAATTCTAAATGATAAAGATTCAAATTGCACGTTGGTCAATTTAAATCGCTATTTTCAACTTTCAATATTTTAATAAGTTAGAAGTTGATGTGATTGGAGGGAGGCCTTGACCAACCCAATAATTTCTCGGAAACTACGCTGCCTTGAGTTACAAATTTTAGCCTTTCCTTTAAAGAATCTCGAATCTATTAATTATGTGGAAGTCAGATATCTTCTGGAATCATAACTAAATGAAGTCATTCTCTTTTTTTTTTCTTTTTTTTTCTTTTTTTTTCCCTTTTTTCCTTTATATACCCATAATTTTGGTCAATACTCTTATTCATATATACTAGTCTTTCTTAATCTAAGCGAAGACTTCATTTGTTAATCACTTGTAATCTTCCTATAATAATATATTTGGCCCTTAGCAGCAAGCTAGGGCATATCTACTTCTTTAATTATGTCTAGTTGTTAAATTTACATCAATGATGACATATGAATGTGACATATTATGTCTACATTTGCATTTGTTGTTATTTTCCTTGTAGGCATCAAAATTTTTTGTAAATGAGAGACTGCTATGTATGAGACTGTTCGAATATTAATATAGTGGAACCGTAATTGCGCAGAAAATTTCACTTTGTTCCTTTCGAGGATTAGAAATTTCATAGGCATTGGTTTAGACAATGATAGAGTGAAATTGATGATGACCTTGCCAAGACCATGACCACAAGGCAGAATAGCAAATCAAATTGCCAAGACCATGACCACAAGGCGTAATTTCCAGCCACTCAACTCCCTTTTGATCACAAGAAATTTCTTACTTAGTTATATAATTTCGTCAATGTTTCAAGAATCCATTCGAATTCTAAATAGAAAGTCAACCGTCGTTTAGTCACGCACAAAAAAAGAAATTTAAATTTCAAGTTGATCACCATGCTTGTTTCTCAAGGCACCCTCACCATTCAATTCACATAAACTAAGCTAGAAATTTTTCTTTCTTGTTAGTTATGTGTCGTGTTTAATAATTACTCCTGTTAGGCTAGCTCTTAATTAGTACTTTTCTAGGTGTTGGCTTTTGGTGCCTTGTGGTTGGGATCTTTTCCCTTTTATGGTTCTTGTGGGACTTGTCCTCTTGCTTCTTGCTCCTCTTTGATTTAATGCATAAAGCATGAGACCATACAATCTGTGACAATTCAAAACCAAAAAGAAATAAGAAGAAAAGAGTGATGTGTGTTTGGAACATGTAACTTTTTTGTTATTCAATCGACACAGAGGAAGATTGAATCGAACACGGTAACTTTCGAATGCAAAAGTATATACTCTTAATCAATTGAAATACAACTCTATTCGAAACATGTAACTGCAATTATGTTTTTTGACAAGAAAGATGAAGAAATCGTAGTTACCACCCCCACCGTATACCGATCAGCAATGTGTATACTCTATCTCTTTCTCTGGGCCAAACTGAAAGCAATATGCGTGAATATTTGATTTAGTCAAAGCTACATTTTGAACAATAGAATATAAGACTAATGTGGAAAATCAACTTTTATCTTCCTCGGGAAGAAAAGGGTGCACAATAATATCTACGCCCCCATTTAAATGGACCAAAATCAATCTGTCGAGCATTGACAATTCGACATTGACTCGTTGGATAAGGACAGCAGATTTGAATACATTTTTGGAACATTAGCTACACCTACATGCTATATCACAGGCACAGCCAATGGAGTGTAGATTCTTCTTTCACTTGTATTATTCTATATAATTAATAACCCAGTTGAGCATTTTCAATCTAGGCCTTGTCTATATGAATAAAAACTCCATCTGACTTGGAAGTCATGAATTGCAAACCTCGAAGAATTTCAACAATGGCCAAGAATGCTTCCTTCAGCTCTGTTTTTTCTCTGTTCTTCTTGTTCTTAGTGCTTGGGAAATTTTCCGCCATGGCAGAAAACACAACGATTCCAGTTAATGTGGGTGTGGGGTTGTTGAAGAGGGAAGGATGATGGGGCATGGCTTGTGGTTGGTTTGGGTGGTTATGGATGATGGTGGGTTGGTTGTTGGTTGCAGAGGGAGGAGGAAGGATGATGGGGGCATCTTTGGGGATAGGGAGAAGTGGGTAGATCAATGCGTACCCTGTTTAAGGAGGAGGGGATTGGAATTTGTTTTTTTTTTGGTTTGTTTAAAATATTATTATTAACAAACAATCTTTAACAGAAATATTATTTAACAGAAAATCTTTCTTTTTATTTTATTTTACACATGGAACCTACGTGGCATCCAATTCAACAAATTTGTGGGTCCCATTTGTGTCACGTCAACATTTTTAACGGAGGTTTTGACTGACTTGATGGTGGGGGATTAAGTGGAACACAAAACCACGGTCAAAGGGGTTAAGTGGGCCATTTTAACTTTGAGGGGATTAAATGAGATTTGACCGAAGTTTCAGAAGGTGCTACAGTAAATAAGCCTAATTTCTTTACACGAGAGTTTCAACACCAGTTGATTTTGGTGCTATGTTGTCCGGAATTATTAGAAAGTTAACATCCTTTTGCATTGAATTTTGGCTTTCTTAGAATCTGCTACATTTCTTTTCTGTCCACTGACTCATTAAAGTTGGAAACTATATCAGAATTCAATTTAACTCTCCATTTTCACCTCTGGAACAGCTCTAGACCTAATAAAGAATGTTGAGGTGCAAGCCATCATAGGTCCAGAAACATCAATGCAGGCCAACTTTGTAATCAGCCTTGGAAACAAAGCCCAAGTTCCCATAATCTCATATTCAGCAACAAGCCCATCTCCCACTTCAATCAGGAGTTCATACTTTTTCAGAGCTGCACAAAATGACTCATCTCAAGTGAAAGCCATGAGTGCCATCATCCAAGCCTTTGGCTGGAGAGAAGTAGTTGCCATCTATGTTGACAATGAGTTTGGGGAGGGAGTCATACCTTCCCTCTCTGATGCTCTGCAAGAAGTTGATGCTCGAATTGCCTACCGGAGTGTCATTTCTCCAAAGGCCACTGATGACCAAATTGTTGCTGAGCTTTACAAGTTGAAGGAAATGCAAACTCAGGTCTTCATTGTGCACATGTTCGCTGATCTTGGCTCTCGGCTGTTCGACAAGGCGAAACAGATTGGCATGATGGATGAAGGGTATGCTTGGATAATGACTGATGGAATGACCAACTCCTTTAGTTACATAAATTCCTCTGACATAGAAAATATGGAAGGGGTGTTGGGTATAAAAACTTTTGTCCCAAATACAAAAGAGCTTGAAAGTTTTAGAGTTAGATGGAAAAGTAAATTCCAACAGGACAATCCAACTGTCCATGATGTTAAGTTGGATGTTTTTGGATACTGGGCTTATGATGCTGCTTGGGCACTGGCCATGGCAGTTGAGAAAGTTGGGGCTAAAAACTTCAACTTCCAAAAGATGAATAGTACATCTGGTAATTCCAGTACTGATCTAGAAAGATTTGGGGTCTCTCAAAATGGTCCTCAACTTGTCCAAGCGCTATCAGGTACCATTTTCAAAGGCCTTTCAGGAAATTTCAGTCTTCTTAATGGCCAACTACAATCATCAACATTTCAGATAGTAAATGTGATTGGCAGTGGGGAAAAATTGGTTGGATATTGGACACCCGAAAAGGGGCTTGAAAGAAAATTAAATTTGACAAACACAAGCACATATTCTACTTCTAATGTAAGTCTTGGATCAATCATTTGGCCTGGAGATACCACCTCTGCTCCAAAGGGTTGGCAGGTTCCTACAAGTGGTAAAAGGCTGAAAATTATAGTCCCAGTAAAGCAAGGATTTGCAGAATTTGTGAAAGTGACACACGATCCTAAGACGAAAAAAACGATCGTCGATGGATACTGCATAAGCATCTTCGAAGCTGTAATAAAATCGTTACCGTATGATGTTCCATACGATTTATATCCTTATGCAAAGCCTAATGGTGAGAGCGCTGGCAGTTACAATGACTTGGTCAATGAAGTCTTTCTTGGGGTAGGATTCATATCTAAGCTTATTTGTTTTCCTTCATCTAACAAAACAAAACTATCCAAATTATTTACTGACACTTCCTCGGGAAGAAAAGGGTGCACAATAATATCTACGCCCCCATTTAAATGGACCAAAATCAATCTGTCGAGCATTGACAATTCGACATTGACTCGTTGGATAAGGACAGCAGATTTGAATACATTTTTGGAACATTAGCTACACCTACATGCTATATCACAGGCACAGCCAATGGAGTGTAGATTCTTCTTTCACTTGTATTATTCTATATAATTAATAACCCAGTTGAGCATTTTCAATCTAGGCCTTGTCTATATGAATAAAAACTCCATCTGACTTGGAAGTCATGAATTGCAAACCTCGAAGAATTTCAACAATGGCCAAGAATGCTTCCTTCAGCTCTGTTTTTTCTCTGTTCTTCTTGTTCTTAGTGCTTGGGAAATTTTCCGCCATGGCAGAAAACACAACGATTCCAGTTAATGTGGGTGTGGTTATTGACTCTGATACATGGTATGGGAAGATGGGGCTGAGCTGCATCAGCATGGCTCTCTCTGACTTCTATGCCTCTCATTCTAACTACAAGACAAGGCTGGTTCTGCACAAAAGAAACCCTACTTCAGATGTTGTTGTTACAGCTTCTGCAGGTTCTTTCCATCCCTCTCTCGTATCTTTTTTCATGTTTTGTTTTTGTTCCATCGAATTAAATTATATCCACCCTTTTATTTTAATCAATCATTTTGGATTTTCAATTTTGGAGCTTAATTTCTTTACATGAGAGTTTCAACACCAGTTGATTTTGGTGCTATGTTGTCCGGAATTATTAGAAAGTTAACATCCTTTTGCATTGAATTTTGGCTTTCTTAGAATCTGCTACATTTCTTTTCTGTCCACTGACTCATTAAAGTTGGAAACTATATCAGAATTCAATTTAACTCTCCATTTTCACCTCTGGAACAGCTCTAGACCTAATAAAGAATGTTGAGGTGCAAGCCATCATAGGTCCAGAAACATCAATGCAGGCCAACTTTGTAATCAGCCTTGGAAACAAAGCCCAAGTTCCCATAATCTCATATTCAGCAACAAGCCCATCTCCCACTTCAATCAGGAGTTCATACTTTTTCAGAGCTGCACAAAATGACTCATCTCAAGTGAAAGCCATGAGTGCCATCATCCAAGCCTTTGGCTGGAGAGAAGTAGTTGCCATCTATGTTGACAATGAGTTTGGGGAGGGAGTCATACCTTCCCTCTCTGATGCTCTGCAAGAAGTTGATGCTCGAATTGCCTACCGGAGTGTCATTTCTCCAAAGGCCACTGATGACCAAATTGTTGCTGAGCTTTACAAGTTGAAGGAAATGCAAACTCAGGTCTTCATTGTGCACATGTTCGCTGATCTTGGCTCTCGGCTGTTCGACAAGGCGAAACAGATTGGCATGATGGATGAAGGGTATGCTTGGATAATGACTGATGGAATGACCAACTCCTTTAGTTACATAAATTCCTCTGACATAGAAAATATGGAAGGGGTGTTGGGTATAAAAACTTTTGTCCCAAATACAAAAGAGCTTGAAAGTTTTAGAGTTAGATGGAAAAGTAAATTCCAACAGGACAATCCAACTGTCCATGATGTTAAGTTGGATGTTTTTGGATACTGGGCTTATGATGCTGCTTGGGCACTGGCCATGGCAGTTGAGAAAGTTGGGGCTAAAAACTTCAACTTCCAAAAGATGAATAGTACATCTGGTAATTCCAGTACTGATCTAGAAAGATTTGGGGTCTCTCAAAATGGTCCTCAACTTGTCCAAGCGCTATCAGGTACCATTTTCAAAGGCCTTTCAGGAAATTTCAGTCTTCTTAATGGCCAACTACAATCATCAACATTTCAGATAGTTAATGTGATTGGCAGTGGGGAAAAATTGGTTGGATATTGGACACCCGAAAAGGGGCTTGAAAGAAAATTAAATTTGACAAACACAAGCACATATTCTACTTCTAATGTAAGTCTTGGATCAATCATTTGGCCTGGAGATACCACCTCTGCTCCAAAGGGTTGGCAG